ATATATTGCAAACTTCCAATGAAACCTCAAATCTCTTTCTCAGTCTTGGGTGATGGCATGGACACGATCCCCTTGACTTTTGTGTGATCTATTTTAATTCCACGAAAACTGATCACATAGCCTAGGAGTTTGCCCGATGTAACTCCAAAAGCACACTTCGCTGGATTCAATTTCATGTTGTACTTGCAAAGTCGTTCAAAGAACTTGCGGAGCGCAATGACGTGGCCTGGTCGATCTTTTGATTTGACGATCATATCACCAACATAGACCTCCACTTCTTTGTGCATCATGTCATGTAACAATATTGTTGCTGCTCTTTGGTAGGTAGCACCTGTGTTTTTCAACCCGAAAGATATTACCTTATAGCAATATGTACCCCATTGTGTGATGAATGTGGTTTTCTCTATGTCTTCCTCGGCCATCAATACTTGATTATATCCAGCGTACCCATCCATGAAGAAGAGGAGTGCATGGTTGGGAAGAAGAAAGAGATTCCTAAGGTGAAGAAAAATTCGATCGATATTGCTTTGCTTTTATGACTAAGTAGACATACCGAAGGTACGAAAGCAAAAACGTACTCTATACATTTAACAGAGTAATTATTGACCTTGATAAATTCTTCTTGCCTAAAATTAGCAATTTATATTTTAGTGCTCAAACTAATCAATATAGCATAGAAATTTATTTTTAAAAAAATTTAAAAACCAAAAACTTAAAAAATAAAATTGAACATTACAAAGAAATTCGAGTAGAGAATAATGAATACTTGATATACGGAGTAGTGATATTGTTCACCTCATCACCTGTTCTTGGATTGAATTGTTTCCAAGTGAAAAAACTTTAACAATTGTTTAAGGAGGATTGAATGAATAAACGTGGAGTAATAAAAAAGGGGAAAGGGTTTGTGGGTCACTGAGTTGTCAGTACTTTTTGGGAATTGAGTAGCTATGGTAGTATAGACACCTGATTGTGTCTCCCCAAAAACCAAACCCAGTGATGAGTACCTTTCACGTCTTTGATTATCGAGTTAGGTGAAGAGTTGAAGGGTCTCGTGAATTTTTCTTTAGCCTTGACCATTTCGTATCTTTCCTTAAATGTTTTAATCCAAAATCATTTATTTCGTGTCCTTAAACCCAAAATCATTCATTTCGTGTCTTTGAAAATCATTCATTTCGTGTTCTCTTTATAAAACGTCCAAACCAGTCTATCTTGGTCCATGATCCTGGTCCAATTATTGTTTATTTGGATGGGGCTTGAAAAGAGCTTTCCAACGATATATTATAAGCCCAAATATGGCTTATAACGAAGAAGTTATGGCCAAAATACTAAACTAAGCCCAAACCGAGTCTTGCCTGCGACCCAATGACCATGTAGAGGGTCCATTATCCTTAACCTCATTCCTAATCCAATTAGGATTTATTACAAGCTTCTAGGATTCTCTAGAAGGTTGATTTCGATCCTAAATCTTTTAGGATTTATTATTAGTTTCTAGAATCCTCTGGAAGGTTCTAATTTATCCTGTTTTCGAAAAGATAAAGACTTAAGAGTTTTACTTTGTATAAAACATTTGTTTTTTTAATGATTTTAATCCCGAACAAAATAGAATACGTACAGAAGTTTGATTAACCCAATTTGATTAAAGGTCAGATTCCGTACGAGTTTTATCTTCCTAAAACCATCGTCGAGCGAAAGCACCGTCGCGCCGCGGCAGGGCTATCGTGCCGTGATGGAACCTGTTTTACTTTGATTTGAATTCTGACTCTTTTTTTTCCTAATCCTTCGACCCTCTTTTTTCTTTATAAATAGAGGTCGTATCACCCTGTTTTGATTCACCAACAATCATCATCTCTTTCCCCCTCTCTAAGCTAAAGCTTATTCTTTCTTCCTCTCTCCTTCTTCCTTGATTTCTAGCCTTAGCCTAAACACATCCCAACACATTCTAACACACATCCTTCGATACTTTTCCCCAATCACACACCATACCTCCCTAACGAGCCTTGAATACTCCAAGCCAATCTCGAAGTTGCCTTCGACCTCGACGTAAAAGGTTGATAGTTCTGAGGGTTTGGTCCCTAATCTATATCTTATTTCTTATTTTATTTGATTTATTTGTTTGATTTAATGTTTCTTGAAGTTTACTAACATGTGTATTGTTTTGATAGAAAGAAATATGAGGCATCAAAGTAATTACTTAATTATTCTTTTTGATATATAAATCATGCTTAGAATATTATTTTAATTCCTAGTATCATGTTATGATGTTGATTTTAATTTCTAGTATCATATTAGAATGCTGATTTTAATTTCTAGTATCATGTTTAGGGTGTAAATTAATATTTCAAATATCATGTTTCTAGTATCATGTTTAGGTTAATTCTTTGATTATGATTTTTATTAGTGACATACTAGGGTTTGTTATTAATCCGCTTAGTATCATGCCTAGGATCTTGCTAATAATGTTCTAATCATGTTTTGATTATGATGATGATTGTTGTGTCAATTAATTATGTTGCTTGATTATTCATGATTGATTGTTATTGCTTGATCACGCCCCTTCTTGTAGGTTTAAAGGGAATTTGTACTTGAAATCACGTCTAATAAGATAATTAATAATTTGATTTTAGGCTTAATATGATTTTAATTCAAGTGATCATCAATAATAGATTTATTTGTGCATTAATGATCAACCAACGTAGATTAAACAGGTTTAGGATTAACTTATTATATGTATGTTGATCGGAAAGGGCACATGAATATCATTAGAATTAAGTAGAGGCTGATTTAGAGCGGGTTCAATCTCTTTTAGGTTGGATTCGTACTATCATCCCCGAATATCCAGTCATGGTTCCGGACCACTATGGAGTTAGCGATCTCCGTGATCGTGAATGGGGTGTAACCTTCACACCCGTGAATGGTTTACAAGTTCCTAAAACTTGTTGGCGACTCTTTTATCTCTAGCTTCTTCCCTTTGGACGCCACCATGGTTAAATGCATGATCACAATGGGGCTAAAGGTTGGGTTTGAAAAAATCCATACAGGTAGAATAGTAGTACCTAGTGTATTATTTATACTCTATATTTAATTAACTTTTCTAGGCTACTAGGCAAATAAGAAAAATAATCAGTTTTTTTTAATGGGCCATTAAACTAAGTATACGGAGTTATTTTTTCTCCAAAAGTTTCAGCCCTAACAATAGTCCGCCCCTGCCTCTAACCCTTTATTATGTGCATGTATCCCTTTAGGGGTGCCCAAAATGTTGTGCATGTTTCAGAATCTTTCCTTTTAAAGCATGTTTTTTTGTAACAATATTACCCTCATACAATTTATTTAATTCCTTCCATTTTTCTATTTTTTGATGAATTTTTGTCCTTTTTTGTACTATTGATGCTTTGGCATCAATTCCCAACCACACTTTTTCTCCTTCTATCTCTTTTCATTAATTTCCAACCAATTTTTTTTCTCTCTCTTTATCTCTCTCAACAACCCCACATGCACCATTGTACTTTCAATCATGTTATTTAAGAAATCTCTAATTTCCTTAATTCCCGTGAAAAAACTCAAACAGGCACGTAATTAAGGGACGGGGGGAGTACAAGTTAAATCAGGAAAAGGCTACACATAAACCCAATGTATGTGGAGCCAACATACATTGTAACATGCCAGCCTATGATAGGTGAATATATTGGGCCCCAAAAATAATATTTTTAAACATTTCATTCAAAATTCAAACTACTCCCTCCGTCCCAAATTACTTGCATCACTTTCCTTATAAGGCCGTCCCAAATTACTTGCAACATTTCTATAAAAGGCATGGTCCCACTATTTTTTTAATATTTATCTCAAATATCAATGGCCCACTATTATTTCACTTTTGTAAAAAAATGATAAAAAATTTACACCCCCCACCCCCTACCCATACCCCCTGATCTAATTTCACACGCCACTTTCTCACTCCAAATTATTTCACTTTCTCACTCCAAATTATTTTAACCCATTTTCAAGGTTCTTCCATTCATCTTCTTCCCCAAATCATGAAACAAATTACTGTAGATTTGAGAAAAAATCTCATGGATGATACTGAAAAACATCAAATTAATCCTGATTTAGCTAAAAACAAAGATCAAGACTCATTCATCTACCCCAATTCTAATGAAATTGGGATTTGGGTCGATGATTCTGAAGAACCATTTTCAATAGTTCCTGAAACTCCGCCAGACGTTCTCCACACTTGAGAGCGTGAAGTGACTACTCCACCGGACGTTTTTCTTCCAAGTGCGTTTTTTTTGGTAGAGCACGGAGAGTGGGTTGTTCCCGACACTCCAGAACGTGAAGTGGCTACCACTCCTGTGTGTGTAGCTCCAAAGCTAATTCGATGTAGCAGCGGACGTCAATTTAAAAGTTCTGGGAAAGGTAAGTTGAAATCTAGAAAATGAAAAGGTAATGTATCAAAAGAAGACATTTTTCAGATGTTGAAGGGTTATGTCCCAATTATTGAACGACATATGATGGGTGATAGTTCCGGAAGTGAATAGTGGTGGATTATTGTGTTAGTTATTCTTATTTGATGTTCCCATCAAGTACGGAGTATTAATCTACTGCTTGTGATGTTGGTAAGCTATGCATGTTGTGATGTTCCCATTAAGTACGGAGTACAATCTAGTGCTTATGATGTTGTACGGAGTAATTGTTAGGCAAAAAATGAGTACTCTTAGAAGATGTACTCCGTAGTGTTATTGTGTTGTTTACTTGGTGGTGTAGTAGTAAATGAATTAGGTACTCTGTAAATTGATTGACAAGCTAATTTATGTTAGTACTTGATCTTCCCATTAATAATTGATGCTTACAAAAAATTTACAAAAGTATTAGGGAGGTTCATATAATATCTCTCCACTAATGTACTGCTGTTTTGATTGTTTACAATTATGCTTTCAAAAACTTTACAAAATTAATCATTTGACTTTTTAGCTTCCAAAAGTTGCAAGTTCATCACTTCAAGTTGTCTACTGCATTGCTTCAACGTATGCCAAACATTCTTCAACAAGACTTGGAGATGGAGAGAAAACAATAGGAAGTAGTCCTTGTCTCTCTAAAGCTTCTTTTCCAACATGTTTTTGCAAGTAATTATTGCTCCCCTTTACTCTCATCACTTGAATTAACACCAATTGGAGACTAAGGAACACTCTATTCCCTTTAGTTGGACAATACTCCCTAAATGCATTTTTAACATTCTTGACCAGCTCCTTGGTGTTTTTTGGGGCTGTTTGATCCTTGAGGGATTGTATCGCCCTAAAAAATCCAAGGTCTAACACATTCATATATGGGCTGTTCGGAGGTTGGAATACTAACCTTAAGTCTTTGTTGGAATTTTGCACAGCTTCCATGAAGTCTCTGTCTTGTACTTCTATGTGAGGTCTTGCATTGTCTTGTTGCAAATATATTGGACCTTGATCGTTATCTGGCCACTTTTGCATGATTGCTGGGATCACTTGTCTGATTAACATGTTCCTATAAGCTTCTTTTGTGACTGAGGTAACTGGTTTGAGCTCTAATGTACCTGCTGGCCTATTTCTGCTTCTTCTTTTTGCTGGCACCCACCTGACAAACGGAAACATTCCTATTTTCCCATCAAAAATGCATTCTCCATCTGCATTAAATCGTGGCCTAGCAACGGCACATAGGAACATGACTTTTGTGACAAATCTTTTGCTCTTACACGTTCTATAAGGCTGTGTTTCACCTGGGAGTAGGTAATAACGTTGTGTCCCTTTTGTCATGTAGAACCATTTCTCGTCTAAATGGATTGTGTTGTACATATCGTTGAACATACCATTGTCTTGATCAATGGCTTTGAGGCACCATTTTAGTCTTTCCTTGATATTATTTTCTGTAAGTGCTGGTTTTAATGCATTTGTGTGTGGCTTGATTTGACTACTTTTGATAAACCTATGAATGGTGCTCTTAGAAACACCTAATGCTATTGCAAGTGCCCTAATGTTGCCCCTTTTGAGAAATGGAATTCAGAAATTTTACTTAAGTCAATGTGTTTACCTTTCTTGCCAACCCTTTTGGGTTTCTTAGAGTCCATGTTGACTGCATCACCGTTTTGCCATAGAGCTTTTGCTTGCTTCAAAATTCTGTAGATTGTGGTTCGATGCACTCCAAAAAGCTCTGATGCTTCTTTCACGGTACCCCTTTTCAACTTTCCAGTGGAATTTTTTACTAGTAACCAATTAGCAATTCTGGTTCTTGCATCATTTGTAAGCTCTCTTTTTTCTCTAAAAATGCACATGATTACTCTACACTAGTTGCATCTAAGTGAAAACTGAAGAAGAAAACTTACGACATTTTTTCTAATTCTACCCCAAACCCCCCCTCCCCCGCCCCCATAGTTTTTCTCTGTTTGTTCTTTACTCTCTATTTGCTATGTTTTTTTTTTTTTTGGTAATCTACAGGTGAAGCTGAAATAAAGAAGAAGCATTTATTATGGTTCAATATAGAAAGGCCATAATTTGGAAGCTCCAAATTCAAAAAGGGGATGTGTACAAAAATATTTGAAATTTCACCAAAAAAATCAAGAGGGAAAAATTATAAAGTGAATTCTGGTGATGGTGTTTGCCGGCAAAAATTTTAAAAGGAATCAAATTTTTTGGATTCACATGTTATGGCACGTGTATCCAACACTCCAACAGCACACCCCACCCCCCCCCCCCACAAAAAATGCTATGGCCCACTTCCACTAGCTATAATAAAAAAATGCCCACTACCAACTTACATACATTATAATAAACAAGTCAATTACTTTGCATAAAATCCAGCGCCAGTCAAACCGTTGCAACTAAACCGGGACGGAGGGAGTAATTTTTTAAATCAAATTTCAAATCTGATTTGTATTTTCAAGGCATAATCAATGCACCCACACTAACCACCCGACTCCCATTCTCTCTCCTTTCATTTTTTTTTTGGCATATTTTTTTTTGGTCCAGTTTTCTCTCTTACTCCCTTTGTTTTTTTTTTATTTAAAATGCATCAGTTTGACCGGCACATTTGCCAAGACATAACTTTGACCATTAATCTTAAAATTTTATTAGTAAAAATTTTAACAAAATTATATTATGAAAGACATTGTGAGGAATCTAATGATATATTATATAATAACATTTATTTATATTATAATAGCAAAAAATTTAAGTCAAACATGACATGTGAATAGTGCAAAAGTCAAACTGATGCATTTAAAAAAACGGAGGGAGTATCTCTCTACAATTGTTCTTCTTGTTCTTGTTATTATTTTTTTTTCTGATTTATTTCTATAGTTTAATATATTTTTTTATATAATGTTGTTCATGTTTCACAAATAATTCTCCTCTAATTATTTTTGGCTTAAAACTTTTGCGGTTCGATTTTTAGCGGTTTGATTTTCTCCCTCTCTTCTAATGCTCTTCATGTTCTTGTATATTTTCTGTAAAAATTTGTTCTTCTTCTTTTGCTTGAAAATTTGTTTGGTTTTTCAGAAATTCGTATCAATATACTATGTCTTGTTATACAATAATTTTTTAATTATTTGTAATTTATCATTGTGTTACAGATCTGGTTTGTGAATTTTTTTTCTTATTTTGATCTGTATAAATCTTATGTTCAAAACTGGAAAAAAGGGATGCTTTTTTTTTTCTTCAGCTTATACATAAATTAACTTCGTTGTATTGGAAACAAATTACATTATATTTTCATCCCAACCATATAGTTTTTGAATGGAACCATACTATATTATGTGAATCGAAATATTGTTATTTCCAATCCTAGATTTTTTTTTTTTTGAAGAACAGTTTTCCAAATTTTAAAGATCAAGGTTTATAAAAAAATTTCAAGTTAGATTATTAACCAGTAAGAGATGTTAGACATTAGATTATTCACAATGGCAACACATTAAACTCCTTAAATTATGACTATGACATATTAACAAGAAATAAATATTCTGTTTTAGCACTAAACATCAAGCTTTCCTATCCATGAAATATTTGGAGTCAATTAATTGATAATTACAATTGAAATTAAAACAAAGGGAAAAAAATTAGGTATCTTAATTAGTAACAACAATTATTTTAATAGTATTCATTAACTAGATTTCATAAAGTAACAACAATTATTTAATTAGTATTCAAAACCTATATTATAGTTTTTAAATAATGACGGTGTATACTATTTAAAAATATAAAGTATGAAGATGTTAACATGGTGAATATCTAGCAAATATGGTTATTTATGCAACAATTTTAAGTTTTAAAAAATGTTTGTAGTAGTATTAACATTAAAGAGCATAATTTCACTTCTTAAAAAATAGCAATTGATCGAGAGGTGCTATTTGTCCTTATGTAATATAAATATTACAAAGCATAATTAGTTTTTTGATAAAACATGTTATTAAGTTTTAGTTGTTAAATATCTCAATATCAAGGAGCATAATTTCCCTTTTAAAAAACAACAATTGATCGAGAGTTTGTATTTTATTTTATATTATAAGATTAATAAATGGTGTGCCTTATAATAATTAGTTATCTAATATTAATATTAAGCAATGAAAACATAACTAATAATGCTATTTAGAAACCTCCTTACAAGATGTAAACGAAGTTTTAAAATTTTCAGTATTATTAGTAATACTCCGTACGTTTTTGTTGAGGCAAATATTGTTCTTTGCCAATAAGTCAAATACCTATCTTGTTCTAGAGTACGTATTAGAGGGCTACCCATCATGGTACAGGTTTCAAAATATTGATAATCTCGCTAACGTAACAAAAACAAATAATAAAGAAGCTTCCCACAGAAATTAAACAAGTTATATTGCTTAAAGGACGAGTAGATAAACATATGACAAAAGATGAAAATGTCTCCATTAATTAAAGGATTAAGTTAGGTCTACAATTGCAAAAATTGAAGAAAAAATTAACTCCACGATCATACAATTGAAAAAGACGACCGATCTTCAATACATGCTAAGGAAAACTAAACTATCGTTTGGCTACGTAGCCAAGGGAAACTAAGAAAGCTAAGAAGAAAGCTTAAAAGTAATGAAATGCTTGTTGTTGATTGATTTTCTGATGTCTTTCTTTTGGTTCTTTCACTTCTATTTATAGACAATTTGGAGTGGTTATTTGTAATACCCAGTATTTTTAAGCCGTTTACTAATGGATTTTTCCGAAATATTTTAAATATTAAATTTTTATTATTATACAAAAATATTTATTTAAGTCAGCATATGAATTTATGAAGATAATTTTATAACTGTGCTTTATAAAGGATTTAATTATAAGAGTCAAGTTCAATTTGCCGTACCCAAAAACCGAATTTTTAACCTTTAGTATTATGCCCGAAATCCCAAGTCAAATACTTGTTTTCGAGTCAAACTAACCAACTACTACCAATCTACTTCTTCCTCCATAATCAAAGTCAAAGTCTCCTTATTCAACACTACCACCCATCTACTTCTTCCCTAGTCAAAGTCAAGAAAAGCTTACTCCCTACATTGATGATGGTGGCTGAAATAGTACCATTTGGAGGCTATAAATAGCCATGAAAGTAAGGCATTTTTACTCCATCATCCTTCCTTCAAGCTCTCTTCTCTCCCTATTCTCCTTCCTTCCCCATATTTCTTTCATTTGGTCGTGAGCCTTGCCACGAGCATCACCTTACTGCCGACACTGCCACTCTACCGCCACCTGTTGCCGGCGACTACCGACCACCCCTCGTCGGTGCTGCCGTAAGTTCCAAAAAGAAAAAAAAAATCTCTTAAGCTTTATTTCCATTATTATCACTACCATGCACTCCTAATTTAATAAAGTAGTATGTATCACAAATTTACCACTACTACTACTTCCAATTATTATTTTCATAATTGAGATTAATATAACTACTATGCACTACTACGTACTACACTTTATTTATCTATTTATTATTATTGTTATTTATTATTATTATTATTATTATTATTATTATTATTATTATTATTATTATTATTTTGTTTAATGGATTATTAAAGATTAGTTTATAAAGAAAAAATTAAATTTATAAAAAGGTTAAAATAATAAATTGTTCATGCACAACTAGTTAAAGTCGTTATTTTACGTCCTTAAGTTTAATGTTGGAGAGTTCTTCAATAACAGTTATTGATTATTGTAGGAGCAATTTGGAGTTCGTAATTCGGAATTCCGTACTTGTGTGCAAAGATCAAGGTACGTACACGTGACTAGATCTTTCATAAAGTGGATTTATATGCAAATGTAATTTACATGCTCAGTAATCTCGAACCATGTTTGAATGATTATGAAGTATATTTTGTCGAAGCATGTTTTAATTGTTGTTCGAAATGTTCAAATATTTTATGATGTTGTTATAGTCTTACATTGATCTTCAAATTGTTTGGGAAAGGAGATGTTATTATATTCCCATATATGGGATATTGGAAAGTTTATTTATCGGATTTATTCATTGGATCTTTGGATTTATGACTCCTACTATGCGGAGATAAAATTGAAGAATATGGGCGGTGTATGACCTAGTATTTCCCCTTGATAGCACTATGCAATGAGTTACTAGCTTGGGGGGTGTGCAAACTTAGGTGGGCAAATGATTTACGAAATGAGGATTGAATCCATATGCTATTCGGAACTACCTTTGGAAAGTTATTGATTTCGGAAATTGATACGGTTTAATATGAGAATTTCTATTCGCGAGTGGTTTGAATAAATTATGATGTGTTAAAGTGGGAATTTTCGAAAGCATGTTTGAGTAATTAAATCGATTTTACATGTCTAACATT